ATTGTTTGATTTATTTTCTTTAAATAATAATAATAATAATTTATTATTTTAAAAATCTTAATTTTTTATAAGCAAATTCAAATTATTATTCATTATTATGAATCTTTGAAGAATATACTATTATATGTATATACTACTTATATTACTTTCAAATTTCGCGCTTTTTCTATACCTAACCTACAAGACGCAACGTTGCCAAGCGTTGTGCTAAGTAATTTCTGATTGTCAAAATACGGTGTTTTTTTAGACAAAATAATTAATTGTGAGTCTCCTAAGCCAGGTCTGATCAATTTTATTAAAAGTAAGTGAACACTGGCTATTAAACTTTATGTATATAAAGTTCCAGTAATATCTTTTCGTCAGATTTTTCACAATTTGAGATTTCAGACCAAAAAATTCAATTTCCCATAAGAACCCGTGTTAAATGTGAAAAGAGAAAATTATTTATATCTTTTGTCAAAATCCACCTAGACCTCTAAAAATTTAACTACATCTTCTTTAAACCATTATCTATCAGTTTATCAAGCTTGATAATTAACTCTTCGTCATTTCTGTTTGCGAGAGAACTTCCTTAAATGCCATTACATTTTTGGAGGATCAAAAGTAGCGTCTGCTGTGACGTCGGTGCATTTGTAGGAACCAAAAAAGTTTTGTAAGCATAAAAAATGAATAAAGAAAACAAGAAATCGGCAAAATAAGTTTATTGCATGTATTGTGGGGTTCATGATTAAAGAAAAAATGAAGTGAAAAATCGAATCGCAAAACATGTCTGATTATGGTTAGCACAATTCGAAATTGTTACTTCTACTATTAGGGTTGGACACTTTGTTAATTATGAATTTGACACAATTTATAAATAAATATGCAAATAAACATTGACGCACACACACACAGCACATATTCAGCCAAAGATATTAAAAAAATAATATAATAATAACGTTTAAAAATGAACTTAAAAATCATTTTCAGTAACGTTATAAATAATATTAATTGTCAACTATAATAATAATAATAATAATAATGTAAAAATGAAAAATAAACATGAAAAACGTTTTCAGTAACGTTATAAATATTATTTTATTTTTTAAATCATATTCACTACGATTTTCACAAAATGTCCAACCTTGACTAGATTTTTCTTTTTTGTAAAATGATCAGAACTTTTTTAATTTTAGACCAATCAATTTACGATCTTCAGCAAAAGTGTTCCTCTTTTGTACATCTTTCTAACAATATAACTCAATTGACTAAATTTATTTTTTTTAAAAAAGATTATAAACAAAGTCCAAAACGGTGTCCAACTAAAACTATAGGGTAACTGTGGGTATTACTGTGCTTTTTTGTATATACTAACTTTGCAAAGCTCAATTTAACCTCAAAAATACATCAAATGTTGTTATTCCAATTGTAGATAAAAGTTTAATTATTAAATTTTACTTAATCATTAAACTCGAGATTAGTTTGGCACTTTTTTTATTTAAAACATCCATTTAAAAAATAATGGCAAATGCGTGTGTTACTGTTAAAATGTCGGTATTTCTGTGCGATAATTACTAACAAAACGGCAATTACTGTGACGGCATTACTGTTAAAATCGAGCTGCATGTCAACAAAAAGATTAGGTTACCTTTGCGGCGAGTTGCGCAGTTAACGTATTTAAAAATGACAGTAATGCCAACAAGCAGTGAAATTATTGCTGGTAATACAGTTATAAGAAATATTAATTATAAATAAATAATATAAAGATAAATAAGTATTTTTTTAAAACATTGAAGCATATACTTAATTGAGTAATAACACTGAATTGTTTATATTATTGAAAATATTGAAAATATTAACGCTTTCGAATAAGTGTTCACGGCAGCCATATTTGATAATTTCATGGAATTCAATCATAATCAATTTTAAATATAAATAATTAAATAACCAATTGATGAAATGCACATTTTTATTGACTATTCCATTAAGTATGATTTATAATAAATTTTGTAATCATTTTGAAAAATAATATATATTTATAAATTATATATAATAATAATTTTTTTAAAATGACAGTAATACCATCACGCACAGCAATACCTACAGTTACCGTAATAAATAATTTTATTATTTTTATAAAAATAATAATAATTTATATTATTTAAAAAAAAAATTCTTAGCATGAATTATTATTATTATTATAAAATAAAATAAATAAAATAATTATTCGTAATCATTCTACTAAAACTGAGAAGTTATATACAAATTTACTCCGCAATTTGGATGAAAATTTCGCCTGACCATACGTTGACCTATACTACTAGCTTTAGCCAGAATTAAGTAATTTGCCAAACGTTCCATTCGTTTACAGACTGTTGCCTTTGCAACAGGTTTTCTTAATTAAAAAATTCGAAACCAAAAATTATTTTCTGCAATGGAACGTAAAAAAATTTTTGAATAAAAATTTTTTTTTTTTTTTTTTTTTTTAATAGCATACAGTAGAAAATTTTAAAAAATTGACCTAGTCAAGTAGATATTATTTAATTTCACATATATATGAATATTGGAAAGTTTGCTTTTCCGTCTGTTGTATAAAATATGGACAGAAAGTTTTCTAAACTGGCACATTGAAAAATCGACAAACGAGAAACTTTTAAGGGAAATATGGAACATAAGCCGGAAGTTGAAGAACACAATAGAAATAAATAAAGTTGTCTATAAAAAAATTTTTTATAATAGAATCCTGATTTATTCATTTTTTTTTTTTTTTAGTGGAAAAATAATTTTTTTTCCACATAAATATGTCATCATTTTACTGTGTGTACTAAAATGCTTATAAATAAAAAAAAAGCAATTCACTGCGTGTGCTATATTTTTTTTATATTTTTTAACAAAATTGTTATATGTGCTAAAAATTAAATTTCTAATTTAAATTTAAATTTTTTAATTTATTTTTTAATTTTTAATTGTGAATATTTTTTAATTTTTAATTATGAATATTTTTTATTTTCTAATTTTTCTTTTTTTTCAAATATTTAAGAATTATAAATTTTAATGTTATAAAAATAGACATTGCTATCGATTTACAGATAAAGGAAATATTGAAGATAAAGGAAATACGTTTATTACTATGTAAATAAATATTTTTATATTATTAAAAGAATTGCAAAAACTGTAGCTCAACGCTTTTCTATTCGTTTAAAAGTTTTCTTTTAATATTTAAAAATATTTTAAGACAGAAAATAAATTTTCATTTCAAATAAATGCATATTTTTAAAAAAGAATAATTAGTCAATGTTCGAAAATAATATTTTAGTTTTCTAGCAATAAAGCCTCTTAAAAAAGAGGAATTCATTTTGATACCGTATACAAAAAGAGTAAGTTGCATAAATAAAAGTAGGAGGAATCCATTGAATACGAGATTACTTTTTTTCCATTTGGGTGTGCATTTCATTAAAAAAAAAAAACTTTTTCATTAGTGTTTAGAAATATCCATATTGTTCAATTTACCCCTATGTCATAATTGCCCCAGTTTTTTTTTCACAATATTTATAGTCACTAAGAAGACTTTTTCACCTAGAAAAAAGATTTCTTTGACAAATTTTTCTTTGTTTCAAAGAAAATTTCTTTCTTTCAAACAAATTATCTTTGATTCAAACAAAATTATCTTCGTTTTAAAGAAATTTTGTTATTTATTAATTCAAATAAATGTTTCTTTAACTCTATATCAATGTTAGAATTTCTTTGATTTCATGCACAAATTTATTTTATTCAAAGAAAATTTTTTTGAATCAAAGAAATTTTTTTTTGAAACTAAGAAGCTTTTTTTATTTCAAAGAAAATTTTATTTTGAATCAAAGAAAACAAGTCAAAGAAACTGGTTTCTTTAAAATCAAAGAAATATTTTTTCTGGGTGTTGAATTAGTTATAAAAACTTTCACTAATTTAAATTGAGAGAGTATTTTTTTAAAAAAAATTTATTTTTAATATAATCAATTTTTGATATTATTATTTGATTATGACAAATTATATTAATGCCAAATCAGAAAAAAAGTTTCATGAAATAATTTTTTTTGGCATATTTCTTTAATTTAAAGGCAATTTTTCCTTTATAATTAAAACAAAATTTATTCGTTCCTCCAAAAAATATATATATAAAGAATTTTTTTTTCTAAAATTAAATAAATGTTGCTTTCACTTTCTATATCAATATTATAATTTTTTTTATTTACAAATTTCTTTAAAACAAAAAATTCTTTATTTTTTGGTTTCAAAGAAAAATTTATTTTGATAAAAACAAAACCTATTTTTTTGTATATCAAAGAAAAATTTAATTTGAATGAAACAAAACCTCTTTTTTGTATGAAAGAAAAAAAATTTATTTTGAAATTGAATAAAGAAAATAAAAAATATAAATATTTATAATAAATAATATATAAAATAAAATATAAGCAAATAATTTTTCGTATCTCACCTTACAACCAGAGGAAAAATTTCTTTGATTTAATGATACAAATTTCTTAGATCAAAGATCAAAGAAATTCTAACATTGATATGTGAAAAAAATAATTACTTGAATTTAATAAAATATTTCTTTGAAACGAATATAATTTTTTTTTTAATCAAAGGTAATTTGTTTTAACCAAATAAATTTTCTTTATTAACAAAGAAAAATTTGTCAAAGAAATATTTTTTTTTGGATGTAGTTTTTTTTATCAAATTCAAAAAAAAAAAAATGTAATTTAATAAATTATTGAATATTTTTTGAGGTGGTTTTAAATTATTTGTGAATTAGAAAAAAAAAATTATTTTTTAAGTTCAAAAAAATTATTTTTAATTACAAAATATTTTTAATAAAAAAATTACTTTTGCTCTCACAAATTACTATTTTTAATTAGCAAATAATTATACTTTATGATACAGAATATATTATTATTCATAAAAAAATTCAAAAATAATTTTTTTATTATTATTATTATATTAAATTTTTGAATTTGATGTATAAAAAGAAGTGAACTTACAAAAAAAACGTCTCTCTTAACGATTCACCATATCCTGCGTTAAGTTTCGATCGCCTCAGTCCAGCATCTTCTTTTCTCTATAGCAGTCGCGGTCCAGGATCTCTTAATTTGGAATTACAATTCTCCCTCTTTTTCTCCGCTCAACACACCCAAAATGTAGACGATGTTTTTTGTTCTCTCCTGATTTCCAAATCAAATTATAATGTAATAAAAAAAAAACTTTTCTATTTTAATTTCTTTATTAATATTAATTAAAAAAAAAAAATTAAAGCAATAAAAATTAGGGGTGATATTGTGGGGGGCTTTTTGGGGGAAGGGGGGGGGGGGTGTAAAAAAATAGTACGTGCCTATATCGTGAATCGCGTGGCCGTGACCGCACGCTCATGAGCTACTCGGATGCTGAAGAGTCAGGCCGTCAGGCGTACGACTGAATTCCAAATTCAGCATCCAGTTTCAGCTCTGGACCACATCTAGGGGTGGTTAAGAGTGAATCAGAGTGAAATAAAGCTACGGGGGTGAGAATAGCGACACAAGAGAGAGAGAGTGAGATGGAGATCCACGTGTATATATAGGAGGGTGGAGGGGTCGACGTATTGATCTTTTCGCGCAAACTCCCGCCTCTTAGGGTTCCTCTACAATTTTTCTTCTCTCATACAGGCAGGAGCCACCCCTCATCGTCATGATATGATACGTGCCATTGCGTTGAGGAAGAGATGACTCTCATATTCCATTCGCGTTTCAGAGAAAAAAAAAAATACACCATTTAAGTGCGTTGACAACCGTGGGGTTAAATTAATATTTTTTTTTTTTTGACGTTTTTCAAACGTTCCATACAACCCTCTATTTTTTTTTTTTTTGCAAAGTTGAGAAGGGTGTGACACAAATGTCATTCATTATAGTTTTCAATTTTATTGATTGTTAACTTATTTTTATTGAATTTTTCATATTCATTTGATTTTGAATGAGATTTTTTTTAAGCTGAAAAATTTTTTTTTTGATCAAAATAAAAATTATTTGATCCAAATAATTGAGAAATTTGAAATTTATAATAATTGATTTAAATAAAGGAATTATTCGTATAAATGATTTACTTGTTGTTCATTAAATATTTATTTGAATTAAATAAATAAATATTTATTGATTAAATTTTTGTTTTGAAAAAAAATTTTTAATCCTACTATTTGATTATTTTTTTCAAATAATATTATTGACATGGCAGATATAGTGAAAATAGGTACGCGATAACGTTGGTTGTACGGAAACTAGTTATTCGGAAAATAATGACGTTGAAACGGGATAAGCAGGGAAGAGAAAGATTATTTCAACTAAAAAAGTCTTTGTACTTTCTTACTTATTGAAAGTAAAATAGAGAAGGCAAAGATTACCGACTTTTGGTAATGTAGAAATCTACGTTACCGACTGAGAGTGAAAAGAAAAATTGAAAAGTCAAACATGCTGATTGTAAATGAAAAATGTTAAAAAGACAAAAAATATTGACGATTAATAATATAGAAATTTACCTTACTGACTGTTAACAAAATAAGAAATTAAAAATATAAAAAAAATTACCGACTTGCAGATATTTATATTGCCGATTGATGGTAAAATTAAAAAATAAAAATTACCGACTTTCAAGTATCTACATTTCCGACTAAGAACGTTTACAAATGACATGATGCAATTATTGCAGAAACATTGCCAACTTATAATAAAATCAAACTATAAAAATACCGTCTTATAGGAATCTAGATTGCCAACTTATGGCAAAATGAAAATTCAAAAAATTCTGACTTGTTGGAATCTACATTACCAACTTAGTGCAAAATAACAATATAAAAATTACATAACCGACTTGTGGAAATCTACAATACCGACTGATGGTAAAATGAAAAAAATATTACCCATTTTAGAAATACATATATATATTGACGACTTATTGCAAAATAAAAATTTACCGACTTGCAGAAATCAACATTGCCGACTTATAGTAACATCAAAATATAAAAATACCGGTTTGTAGGAATCTAGGTTGCCGACATGTGGTAAAATAAAAATTCATAAAATACTGACTTGTTGTTTACAATGCCAACGTTGTGCATAATGACAATATAAAAATTACATTACCGACTTGTAGGAATTTACACTTCCGACTTAAGATAAAATAAAAAAAATTATTGACTTGCGCAAATTTACATTGCCGACGCATAGTAAAAACAGAAAAATGAAAATATAAAACATTACCCACTTACAGGAATCTACATTGCCAATTAACGGTAAAATAAAGAATATATAAATTACCGACTTATAGGAATCTATATTGCCGACTGATGGTAAAACAAAAATATAAGAAATTACTGACCTAAATAAGCTGCAACTCGGTAATTTTTCATATTTTCATTTTACAATCATCAATTTCCTGTTTTAATCTTTAGTCGGCAACGTAAATATCTGCAAGTTGGTAGTTTTTTAATATTTTTTAATTTACCAGCAGTCGGCAATATAAATTCCTGCAAGTCAGCAATTTTTTTTTATATTTTCATTTTTCTGTTTTTACTATTAGTCGGCAAGGTATATATCTGCAAGTCGGTAATATTTTATATTTTCAATTTCTTACTTCGTTATCTGTCGGTAAGGTAGATTCCTATATTATCAAACGCAACAAATTTTGTTATATCATTTTCGTATTTCCAATCAGATGATAATTTTATTAAATAATTTTCTGAAATTATACGAATATACAAAGAACTCTTGACAGTTTATATTTATTACTCAAAAAAACACTAATATTTTAAATATTCCTTTTAATTGTTAATAAATTTTTTACAAAAGGTAATGTTAAAAATTCAATTTATTTTCATTTTTACAAACAAGAAAAACTGACGAGACCCTGACTAAAACCCTTTTTTAAATTGATCACAGTAAGTCAATTTCTGTTTTGTTATATATATAAGAAGTATGATGAATCCTCTTTATTGGACCGTATTCAAATAACTTTTGAGAAGAGAACGTTGACCCACTCTGAAACTAAATGAATGAGAAATCCAATAAAAATGAAGTGGAATTGCTATTCTGATAAAGTCAAGAGTACAATCTTTTAATAGAAAATTACATAAATTTCTCGATTTTCAACTTACAATTGTACAACTCCAAATTATTCATCTCAAAAGGATTTATTGAAATCTTTCCAACCAACATATATATATATATATATATATATATATATATATATATATACTTGAAATGTTGAAATATTTCAATCTAGTTTTTATTCATTCTATTCGGAAAGTCATCTCCCTATATTACAAAAAAATATCGCAGCCGCTGTTGAAGGAATTGCCGAGAAAAAAACTATAACAAACCTGAAAACATAACCTCAAAATTGTAGATCTTAAGATAAGTGGTCGCTGGATTTGAGGTTAAAACCTGAAAACATTACATAAAAAATTAAAGATAATGACCTATAATGCATAAAGTCAAAGCTTAGGAAAAACCTCCTCACAGAAAATACCTGATCTCAAAATGAGTAGCGTACACTACTCATTTTGAGGTGCAACAACAATGAGTCAGATTGGTGGCGCCACTTTCTATGTCGTTTAGCATTTACTCATTTTGAGTTGCAACAAAAATGAGACTGGGTTTTTTTCCACGAAGTAGTATAAGGAGACCTCACTGTCCGGGAAAGCTGAAGCCGTTTTCCCCGTTTCTCTTATACAGTTAACGGAGGTGTCGAACCCTAACGGGAAAAATTGATACCTCCGAAATTTCGTCTGCTAAAAGTGACATGAGCGATGTAAACATGGAGAATCTCCATGAATATAAACATGATATAATTATTTATATTGTGTAAAAACACAGTAACGAAGTAAAATTAGTAACTGCAAGTGAATATAAATTATTAAACTGTTTAAATTTTATTTTAATTATAGTTGTGATAAAAATATTAATAAGGTTTATATTTAAAATGAAACTCATCATTATTATTTGTATTTCATTGAAAATAGTTTTGTAAATAGATTTATATTTTGTATTGTCTTTAACACAATTTGTTTTGCAACCTTTAATAGAACAACTAATCATATTTCCTTTTTTTTTCTTTAAATTATTTACAAAAACCAGAAAAAAACAAACCGATATAAAAACAATCAATTTATGCAGGTTATGTCACAGCAGCCATTTTGCGAAAGTGCTATGTGTTAGTAACTGTATGTACACACTTTGTGTCAGTGTGGGTAACTAGTTCCCAACTTTTCCGATAGGTTCGACACCTCTGTTAATTGTATGAGAAACGGGGAAATCAGCTTCAACTTTTTGTCGACTTAAGGCCAGGTCCAAGTAAGGCAGCGCCATCTACATTGAAACTAAAATTTTGGAAAATTTTCAACAGCCTTTTCTTGAAAACAAGAAGGTAAAATGCTTTTTCCTTTATGGATAATTGATTATTGGCAAGGTATACACCAGCTAAAACTTTTTTTGAGTTAAAATAATAAAAAAAATTTCATGTCAATAAATTAAATATGAGCACTTTTTTCACAAAAACTGTAACAGTTTATAGAATTTCAATTAAGAAACTAGCTTGACTAACTTTTTAAAATTATTTCAATTTTTTAGGTAATAATTCGACTGAAATTTCAATTAGCCATGAACAATTTTTCTTAACCACTTTTTTTTTATATGTATTTCATTATTTAGATTAGAATTGTTTAGAATTAGGATTTTTATTTAGATAAATTCTGATTAATCTAATTAGAATTAAATGTTGAAATTATATCTTAATCAGAATTATTCTCGTTAATCCAACTTGACTTTTTTTTTTTTAATTCAGTGTTGAATTACGATCAAGTAAAGTCAAGGGGGAAAGAAAAAAACATTTTTCCACTGACTGAATGCACCTAAGATTTTTTCCGCTCTAAAAGCCTTACAATATAAAGCGGAAAAAAGAAAAATTAAATGTCCTTTTTATAATTCCTCTTGAATTATGAATTTGAAAAATTGTATTAAATGAACCTTTTTGAGGGTAAATTTATTATCTGTCTTCTTTATTTATAAAAATTATTCCACTTTCCTCTAAATGGTAATGACAAATTTTTTTCTTTTATATTTTCAAGAAATGTTGTATTAAATGAATTAAAAAAAATTAAAATCTAATTATTAATTTAAAGAACAAACACTATAATAAATAATAATGATTAAATTTATTTTTTATTTATTTTTAATTTATACTGATATTGTAAAAAAATTTGTTCATTCGCAATAATTGTACACTCACAAAAGTGATACAAAAGAAAATATAATAAATTTTCTGACTTATTAACTAAAATGAATAAAAAAAAAAAAAAATACGAGAACATTACGACTTTCCTATATTTTACAATAGGAAATTTAATTTTTCACGGAAACATACACAGAAAAAACATGAACTCATTTTGAGTTGGGTATCGAATTGAGTAAGCGCCAAACTTCAAGTTACTCAAAATGATCCTAGTTGGAATTTCATATTTCTAGATTCGCTGCATTTGGAGAATGATTTTGAATATTATAATTATTTTTCTAATATTTCGACAATACCAGAAAAATTTTCTTTATTAGTACAAATATTTAGTAGTTTTTAAGTAAAAAATAATAATTATTACTTTTTTTAAAGTTTAGTTTAGTTTTTTTTTTGTTTTTAAATTTAGCGCTATTATATTTAAGTTGGCAGTAACGTTCTTGATATGAAAACAAATGTTTTTATTTTTCTAACCTAAAAACATATTTTACTTACCTCCATGAAGTTGGCGTCGTCGCTTAGCGCTGAAAATTTTGTTTACAGAACCAAAAAATGTCAAATTATTTTTTTTAAAAATATTTTCCGTCCAAATAATACATCGAGAAATACTTTTTAAGGTATATTATGTGAACCCAAAACATTTTTCAAAATTTTTTTAAATGATTTAAAATTTTTGGTCGCATGAAAAATAATTTTCGACGCTGAGCGTTTCACGCCAACTTCAGGGAGCCAACTTTTAATTCTCAAAATGAAAATATGGGATCTGAAATCATAGGGAATTATGGGGAAACTGACCTCGTTGCGTCAGCCATCTTGATTTTTTATCTCTTTCATCTACATATATTTTAAAAAGGATGAAACGAAAAATGGCTGACACAACGAGGTCGTCACCAGATGGCGTATCGCAGTATTTCAGATCCCAATTTCAAATTGATTAGCGTATACGCTATATACTTAAAAGGAATACAGGTTTTTTCTGTGTAATTTCCTGCTCATTTATAATATAAATTATTAACAACGACGTTTATTGGATTTTGGTTTTTGTTTTTTGGTAAAAAACACATTTCTTAGCAGCGTTGTGGTAATTGTAGGGATTTGTTTCATATCATGTCCATAATTACTGGCATAAGATGAATATTCTGTTGCTACTTTTCGTGATGTCATTGTCAACATTCTAGCAAGGCCCATCTCATGTGCATGGTCATCCAATATCTCGCATAAACTTTGAATGTACCAACTTCCTTCCTCAATATTTCTCCAGGAGGAAAATTCTTAAAGTGTATAAATTTTTTTTAAAATTTTATTATTAGTTTTAATATTCTATAATTGAATCGTAAAATTCGAAATAAAGTCAACTACAAAAAATGCGTAAGTGTCATTTTTGCATACGAAATTTAAAAAATTTAATTTAAGGCCATCGGGGAAAAATCCCTAACCTAAAAGTGTTTTCCCTTGCGAGATATAACTCGTAAATAACTTGAAATATTTTGTTCGGATTAATTAGATGAGGGCTCGCTGATTAAGAATCATCTCCATTTTTACAAGTAATTTTGTGGTTATAAAAGTTGGATTTTTGACAGAAGTGGGGACAGACATTGAATCTATGTGGCGCCAATACTAGCTATAGTGGCCGCTGCTGAACTAACTTATCCCAAATTACAATATTATTGCAAAAATGCACTGAGAAAAATAATTTCGTAATAATAAGAAAATAATTTTGTTGAGCTTTTTTAGTTGGCGTTACTAAAATATGGTTGTCACAACAGAATAGAAAGTGGCAATAAATCGGGAAGTTTAGTTGGCTCTACCAAAAAATATATTTGAAGCTTTCATGTTTACGAACTAAATAGTTTGGTTCCCAGTACTAAATAGCTGACATGCTGTATTGCGCACGCGCTCTTCTCGTAAATATGGCGTCGCTTCCCATTCACGGGATGTCAACATTAACCATATGTCGTTCGCGTCGTGAAGTTTCAGTGTTGAAGTTTTTATGTTTTTCAGACATTTTTTAAAAAAAAAAGTTTGTGTAGTGAAAATAAATAAATAAAACTTGTTACAAGAACGAAAGTTTTTTTCCAGCTTTTATACATTGTGAAAATGATTTAATCTCAAATTGTTAGTAGGATTCGTAGAGTAGTGGTCAGCGTTCTCGACTAGCGTTGCGTAGTCTGAGGGTTCGAGCCCCAGCAGTGTTAGGTTTTTTCCGCGATAGAAATTAATTTAAGTAGGCATACACGAAGAGAAAAATCTGCCTTTTATAGTATGAAATAGATTGCTGCTATTTTTCTTTAAACTTTTCATACACTGAGAGAAGTTAAACACAGATTTCGTACTAAACACACGTTCAGATAGTGTACCTAACCTTTCGAGCAACATCGGTTCTAAATTGTATCGCAGCTGCGCTTTTTGGTGGACAGATACTGTACTAAATCGTTTGTCCCATAAGTTAGGTCAGAATCAGTACTCAATTGGCGCTGCTGCTGTTCGATTTTAGTACTGCGTCTGCACATAATTGTGGTACAATATCTGTCTCTCAAAAAATGCAGATGTTGCGTTAAACTTCTCTCAGTGTACTAATAGAGCAAAGATTTGAGAATTTTTAGCATGAAACTTGTCTATGCTAATAAAGTTTGTCATATAGACTCTTATTACATACTTATTATACTTTTAATCCAACGGCGCCATGCGAAGATCGCACATAACATCATCCTACTATTTTTGCATAAGTTCTATGCTTTTTCGGAGATAGACTCTTGCAACTGGCGATTAGGCCACGCCCACCTTTACTTAATTGGAACTGCCCTAATCGCCAGTTGCAAGAGTCTATCCCCGAAAAAGCATAGAACTTATGCAAACATAGTAGGATGATGTTATGTGCGATCTTCGCATGGTGCCGTTGGATTAAAAGTATAATAAGTATGTAATAAGAGGCTATATGACAAACTTTATTAGCATAGACAAGTTTCATGCTAAAAAGACATACGATTGTACTATAATTACTCAAATTTCATGCCTATATAGCATAGAAAATTTCTGTGCATTAAATGTAAACCTTTCTATACTATAAAAGGCAGATTTTTCTCTCCGTGTAGGTAGGTTATATAAAGAGAAAAAGGTGAAACAAAAAAATAAGTTGGTTGAGAAAACAAAAAAAAAATTTTCATTTAACTAAATTTTTTGTTTGCTTAAAAACAATAAGTTAGTTGTGCAAAACAAAAAATTTGGTAGACCGAACAAAATGATTCAACGAAAAAATTTAGTAGCCCGAACCAAACGGATTAGTTGCACATATATCAAATAAAAAATTTGGTAGAGAGAACCAAACTTTGGTAGATGATACTAAACATTTTTCTCAGTGTGGAGAAGAGTGATGAACTCAGTGACCCTTCCTCTATTATTCCTCCAAATGCCAACTCGAAATACTTTATCCTTTAAAGATGAGAAGAAATTTACGAAACCTCTTTTTGCCAATGTTTAAACATTTTTTTCAAATAATTATTTATCAAGATTATGCAAAATTCCGAGAAGACCTTCCTCTATTATTTCCAAAAAATTACAACCTAAAATATTCTATCTTTTTCAAATTAGAAGAAATCTACAAAACCATTATTTTCTCCCGGATGCCCTTAAGGCCAGGTCCAAGTGAGGCAGCGCCATCTACATTGATACTAAAATTTTGGAAAATTTTCAACAGCCTTTTCTTGAAAACAAGATGGTAAAATGCTTTTTTCTTTATGGATAATTGATTATTGGCAAGATATATACCAGCTAAAACTTTTTTTGAGTTAAAATGATGAAAAAAATTTCATGTCGATAAATTAAATATGAGCACTTTTTTCACAAAAACTGTAACAGTACTTTCTCAGAAATTACAATCAAAAATGCAATTTCCATTTGGAAAATTAATAAACGCTAAAAAATACACGACCTAAGATTTACCAATCACGAAAATAACAAAAAAAAATTTTTATTAAATATTTAACATATTGATACTGCTTTACTGATTGTGACAGCCCTTTGGTAGATTATGTATTTCAGGTGGTTAGCAACAGCGCCAATCTCCTCCTTTCGGCAAAACCAAAAACGTCTGGTGACATATATAACCTGCCAAACGGCTGTCATAATGAGTAAAATATGTTATGTTAAAAAACTTTTTTTTTGTTATTTTCGTGATTGGTAAATCTTAGGTCGTGTATTTTTTAGCGTTTATTAATTTTCCAAATGGAAATTGCATTTTTGATTGTAATTTCTGAGAAAGTACTGTTACAGTTTTTGTGAAAAAAGTGCTCATATTTAATTTATTGACATGAAATTTTTTTTATTATTTTAACTCAAAAAAAGTTTTAGCTGGTGTATATCTTGCCAATAATCAATTATCCATAAAGGAAAAAGCATTTTACCTTCTTGTTTTCAAGAAAAGGCTGTTGAAAATTTTCCAAAATTTTAGTTTCAATGTAGATGGCGGTGCCTCACTTGGACCTGGCCTTAAAATTTACGATTCAATTATTAAAAATTCAGAAAACATTTCGTTCACTTTGAATTAATCCAGAAAATTAACGTTTGATCCTATCAAAAAGTGTTTTATAATTTTTTTTTGTAAATACATATTGATTGGAATAACAAAAATTACACTGTTTTTTTTCCTCTGATAAAATTTTAAAAATACAAGAAAAAAGTATGAAATTACCTGGAAATGTGCTATAGGCAAAAAGAAAGTCTGCATGGGTTGGAATTTTATCTGAACCTGAATCAGTTGTTCCAGTATCTGTTTCTATTATTTTGTAATTATTTCGTTCTATTGTAATTCCGGGATCAAGTTTTTCACCTCTGTTAGTCTGAAATGAAAAATTTTAAACTTGTCGAAAAAACTACTCAATTCTATAATAATTGGTATACAATAAATTATTTTTCACCTGGAAAAAGAATAATTTTGGTTTTTCAGCTAGGGACTTGCATTTATCAGCAGTAAACGGTTTCCAGATTACGTCTAATGGGTAAGTTTTATCTTTGGCCTTGAGGAGATTCTTGCTTAGTCCATGAGTTAAAACAAAAATACAAAGACAATCGTTTTCACTGTGATCTTCTCTTCGAACTATATCATAATATTCAATTATTAATAATAAATTTTTAATTTCCTTTACCTTATATATGCATAGAAAAACAATAAAATTAATTTTCTATAAGAAATTTAAAAAAAAAAAAAAAACTAGAAAAATATTCTATTCAATTGTTATACTGACAATATGAGTGGTACCTACGTTTCATAAGTTCATCTTTGATTTCATCGTACGTTAAATTGTTATGCACTTTGACTATAAAGCCAAGATTATCAAAAGAGATTTGAATTCTCTCTACGTCTTTAGCTGATCCTTGTCTCTGTTCGGGTCCAGTGTTAAAAATATCATGATTGAAAATTATACATTTCCCTCGATTTTTATGATTCATATTATACCAATGGGAGTCATTATTTATTAGCATTTCTTCTAATGAGCTGGAACTGGAAAAATAAGACAAAATTTATTTTCTAAATAACATTATCAAAATCTATTCTGCTTTGACTTTCAAGGGCAAAATCTTAAGGTGTCAAAAAAGCAAATTTTTCATTTTTTTTTTTACTATTTTCAAGACAAAGAAAAGGATTTTTCTACATTAAGGCCATGTGGGCAAAAGCCGTTTTTTTGTGGTTTCCAACTTTCTCTGAAATAAATAATGATTTCGGGTTAAAATATTCAAAACTTGATAAAGGAGGGTGCAAAGCATAGGGCTGTTCTTCACTTAACGTAAAAATAATAAAAATAAAGCAATAAATAGTAAAATAATATCATAGTTCATTCAGCGGTCACTTGCTCGAATTGGCGCTGTTTACTGGGACACTGACACACGCAAGCAACGTCTGTGTATGCGCCGCCATCTTTGTTGTCATTTTCGTTTAAAAATTAAACTTTTTAAACTTATTTTTAGAAAAATTTAACGCAAAATTAAGTTTTTTCAGGAGAACAGCGCGGTGCATTGTACCCAAATCTATCAACCCACAAAATTTTAGCCTAAAATCTTTTTTCATTTTAGAGAAATAATTTTATAATTATTTTTTCATATAATTAGTTAAATAAGATGTCATTTTATAGTTTTATATATCAATTTTCCATTTCTGCATAGAGAAAGAAAAATTGTTATTTTGTTTTTTAAAAAAAAGGCGTGCACTTGCTAATTTGTACCACCTTGAGATTTGCGCTATATGCGATAGCATTATCATTATATTACAGCTCTAAAATTGGCAACCTTCTTTACATGTTTTTTTTGGTTAAACGCAAATTTTTTAGCAGCGTTGTAGTAAATACAGGCATTTGTTTCTGGTGCTTTTCAGTCGCATTATCCGAAGGGAGTGATGAATATTCCGTGGCTACTTTACGTAACGTCATTGTCATCATTTTAGCAAGAGCCACTTTATCTCCATAATTGTTGATTATTTTACATAAGGACTGAATGTACCAACTTCCATCTTCGGGATTTCTCCAGGAGCGAAACCCTTAAAGTACACAAATATTATTGCAACAATGCGACTTTAGTGCGGCAAATGCCAAAGATAATTATGAAACGTTCATTATTTTGATTACGAATTCGATAGCGAAAAGTTTCCGTGAGATGTATTCCACAGTGCTACACTCAAATAAATTTAGAAAAAATTAAATTTTCGAGATATTCGCTCCGGAATACCACCAAAGCTTTAACCCGGGAGTCTCGAACCAAAAATGTATGGAGCACTTTTTGATTGGTCCAGCGGATGCTGAGCTACACTCAAATAAAGTTCCGAAAAAATTTCGAAAAATTAAATTTTCGAGATAATCGCTTCGGAATACTATAAAAGTCATTAGAAAAAAGTTCCGAACAAAAAATGTATGGCGCACTTTTTGATTTGATCAACAGATTGTTGCGACACCACAAAAATCAAGAAAATTTGATTTTTTTTTGTGTATATTTGAATCAAAATTCTCCCTATGTACACACTTAAAAATTATTGTGTAAAGAGTAAAAATAAAATAATTAATACGATATAAAATTACCTTGGACTGTACTGTACGCAAAAAGGAAGTCTGCGTGGTTTGGAATTTTATATGAAGCAGCCGAAGAATCTGTTTCTGATGAGTCACTACTTCCCGAAAATGTAAATCCGAGATCAAAATTGTCACCTCGGCATGCCTGAGAAAAAAATCATATTTATTTATTTATCATTCGAATGCACTACAATAATTAGAACTGTAATTGAAATTAATTGACTAATTCCATTGAATTTCATCTGAAAGTGGTTGGGGAAATATAATTTTTGAAAAATTTACTTTTTTAATATGTTAAATTCATACATTTGCTTATAGTTAATTAATAATACAAATTTATGGTAACTTTGTAATCCTTAAAATTTTATTTTTAGTTTCATGCAAAAAATAAAGGAATATTTACAAATTAATAATTTTATTAATGATCTCAGAAAATGTTTCAGTTTAGCATATTTGAAAGGTAGATTTTTTTCATTTAGTACCATTTCTCACCTGAAAAAAGAATAATTTAGGTTTTCCAGCTAGGGATTCACATTTATCCCCAGTAAATGGCTTCCAGATTTTATCTAAGGGATAGGCGACATCGTATGCACAAAGGAGATTCTTCTCTAGTCCATGACTTAAAACAAAGATGCAAATACAGTCGTTTTTACTGTGGTCTTCTTCCTGAACTATATTATGGAGTTAATTGTCTATTAGAAATTTAAAAGCATAAAAAAAATATTTTATTTAATTCATATATATGTATATATAATAATGGACTGGTACGTACGGTTTTTAAGTACATGTTTGATGTCATAGTAAGTTAAATTGTTATGCGTCTCAACTGTAAATCCAAGATTACCAAAAGATATTTGAATTATCTCTACATCTTTAGCTGATCCTTCTCTTTTATCGAATTCAAAATCCTCGTCATAATCTTCATGATTAAAAATTACACATTTCCCTCGATTCTCATGCTTCATATTATACCAATGTGCGTCCTTATCTGTTGGCATTTTTGCTAATGAAAAGAAAATGGAAAAATAAGACAGTGTTTTTTTTTTAAAATAACATTACAAATCTATTCTGTTTAGACATTTAAATGAAGCTGCAGTACGCAACGTATATGATAAACAATGTTTTAAAAAAATAATTTTTTAAAATGAAAAATTCTCTAATTTTTTGCATAAAAAAATATTTCTTGTAGAATTCAAACGAATTGATTAACCCATTTATTGAATTTGTGCAGACAAATTAGAAAGAATTAAAGCTTATAGAAAATTAATTCGCTGAAATCGAACGATTTTTCGTCGCAGTTCAATAGAGGTTTGTCGTATTCAGGAGATTTGCAAAATAACTCCAATTTGTATTTGTCGCTAAACGGGATTCACCCAAAGCTCTTCGTGAATTCAATTCACGTCAATCCTTTTTCGTTTACTGGGGCAGTGAAAAAATAAAACGAACATAACTTTTTTCTCAAGAACCTACAGGTCTTAAAAATTTAACTACATAATTTTAGAAGCATTATCTAGTAGTACACCAAGTATTATCAAAATCTGCTTGTTTATCCGATTATCCATAGAACCTCCCCAAGCAGCACGGTATATCCCCTGAATATCCCTTGAATACCACCGTGGAATATTCCCATCATGTTTCAGGAAAATTAAAATGTCCGCATCATGGGAATATTCCACAGTGACATTCAGGGTATATTCCAGTGACATTGAGGGTAATATTAAAGGAATATTCCAGTGATATTGAGGGTTTATTCCACGGTTATATTGAATTTTTTTTAAGTGTTGAAATAATAGAAATATATAATAAATTGTTATTTGAATAAGCAGGAAGATTAAAAACACATTTAAAAAAAAATTCAATGTAACCGTGGAATATTCCCTCAATATCACTGGAATATTTCCACAATATCAACTGAATATCCCCTTAATGTCACTGGAATATACCCTGAATGTCACTATGGAATATTCCCATGATGCGGACATTTTGATTTTCCTAGAAGATCATGAGAATATTCCACTGTGGTATTCAACGGATATTCAGGGAATATACCGTGCTGCTTGGGTCCTTAATTTCAATATTTTACTAGTATTTAAACAATTTTAATTTCTGCTAGTTGACGTGCAGACGACATTGCGCACGCAGCATTCTCATGTAGCCAATTTAGTCCACGAATCACGTCAGCTGGTTACAGGAGAATGCTGCGTACGCAATGTCGTCTGCAACGTCAACTAGCAGAAATCGCCAATTGTTTATACTCGTAAATTATTAAAATTAAATAAGTTAAACTTGCATTTACAATTGGATTCCTTTGGAACATTAAAGAAAACACATGTAAGATCATTTTAGCGTTTAAGTGATTGAATTTTAGTTTGTCGCGTGAAATTTATTCAATTATTATTTAATAATTTTTTTGGTTGTAAAATTATAAAAAATTGTAACTGAAAGAGATTTATTCCTCTCATTTTCCTTGACATTTTAAAAAAAAGTAGACCTTAATCCGATTATTAGAATGGAAGATATAGCAGTTTGAAATTTTTTATTATTGCAAATCTCGTAAACTAACAAATATTTTAACCTGCAATTTACGTTAAAGATTAGTCTTACTATATATAACAAAATTCTAAAGTTTAATATTGCAATCGGTTAACCTATTCCAAAAAAGTCAAAATCTCATCTGGAATCGCTGCTTTTTAATTTTAAGATAAATGACTTTTCCGACTTAAATAATTAAAATTGTTATAACTTTATAAAAAAAAAAATTTTAACCAAATGTGTCGTCTAAAAATTATTTAAAAAAAACAAAATATCGTACATGAAATAAATTTTCAGCACCGAAAAAATTCAACCTGTTCAACCAATTTGAAATAAATTTAGTCATTAAAAGAATCAGTTTTTACTTTTTCTTAAAAATTGTAACGTTTATTGCAAGATAACACGATGGCAAAGTCAGATAATTTGTCGTCATTATTTTCAAATCTCTTTACCCTTTCCCGCCGACTATGGCGGGGAAAGAAGACTACCATTGATAAAACAGGAAAAAATATGTAAACAACAGAAACTCACCAATACTGATTGTTACACAAAACTCATGTAAAACTGTGCCCCACACCTTGCTGTTATCGTACTATTATTATTATTTTTTTTTGTTTCACTTAACTCACTCCAAAATACATTAATATTCGACTTGTCAAAAATGTCGCGAGATCCACCGGCAAATTCAATACTGGCTGTTCTCTTATCTCTAAATCTTGAAATGCGCATAGATCATGGCGCAGGCTCCCTCCTTTCTTGCTCTGTATGTAGCAAACTAGAGGGGATATCGAAAAAACGAATATTGATTGTTGATTTTTAACTTATCGATAGTTTATTATTAAATATAATTTTATTTTCTTTATTTTAATTATAATTATATTTATCTAATATTAATTTACTTACTACTTATTTACTTACTTACATAATCTATATAAACTTTTACGAAACCTGTCAGTATGTATCGTAATTATTAATAAATATATATTTATAAATATGTTTATTTGAGGTTATGTGTTTGTCATTTTAATTTATTTCTTATAATTTATTATAATATTCCTTTAAATATTTTGTATCTACGTTTTTAAATTTCGATTAAAAAATAATATAATTACACTGTCCGACAGCCGAAAAACACTTTTTATCTGACCTACTAGAGGTTGTAGGTAACAAAAAACTAAGAATGGTATATTTAAAATTTCCCTAACACCCCCAAATTTTAATTTTAGAGCCAAAAAACCGTTTTTACATATATTTATGACTAAAACCCTTGTAACTTTTTTAATTTTGCACCGATTTAAAGTTTTTTTTTCATTTTGAAGCTAAAAAGCAGGACTTTTCAACCCACATAGAGTTTTTATGTTAAAAGCAATATTTACAAGAGAAAAGTTACAAGAAAGTTTAGAAATTGTCAGTTTTTCCTCAATTTTACAACTTTAACCGATGTTTACCACATTATAATTATGTTTTAAACATTTTTTTTCTTCATGTATAATATTCAAGCGTACTAAATTGTGCGTCGAACGAGCCCTATTTGAATAGTTTTCTTTAAAAATTGACTGATTTATTGCAGTTTTTCTATTTCAAAGACCCGTAGAGCAAATTTAAGTATTTATCAGTTTTTCTTAATTGTTTATTCTTAAATTGTTTTATATGTAAAGTGCTTCTGAAGTTTTAAACATTTTTTTGTATCTTGGTCATTCTATAAGAATAAGTTTTTCTGTAAATATTAATTTTATTTTCCATATAAAAAAAACGTATAGCTAGCCTCAAAAATGAAATTGTAACATATTTTATAAATATACTTTTTGTCAAGAATGTTTTTATTTACTAACTAAAATTCAACTTAAATTTTTAATATTAATTACTAAATTAAAAAAATATCCGAAAATTCATATTATTTTGAAATTAGAAGAGTTCATTCAGTCCTTGTGAGCCGAAAGTTCTGAACGTTCATCTGAACGAAATATTTTTTCTCAATCTATAAAAATTATTAAAAAATTATGATGACCATGTAAAATAAAACAGTAAATTAAATTAAACAATTATTAAATTAATAACTTCTTTTTTGATATTTTAAACAATATTTTGTAATAAAATTCGCACTTAAAGAAGTAGAAAAACAAATTTCGTTCATATGAACGTTTAAAACTTTTGGCTCGCATCAGTCCTTTTATTTTATTTTATATTTGAATCGTCCTCGTAAAATTTAAGCGTCCAGCAATATTCGGAGATTATATTCACTGTACTTTTCCCTTAGAAGCGTTTTTTATTGTTTATATATTTCTTGATGAAGTCTTTCACCTTGATCATCACTTACTTGCCCAAGGTTTAAGGGAAGGAAGACGAAATGGAAGTGCAAAAAATGAATTTTTATTGATGTTGCAATTTCATTTTTGAGGCTAGCGACGTTTCACAGTTTTCCTAAAAGTATCAAATTGAGACCAAAAATTGCATCAAATCTTTGCAACGTTTTGATGCACATAAGTTATATCAAAAAGAGATCGTTTTATGTATCATTTTTAGAAATAATACACGAAACGGTCTCATTTTTTGATGCAAAAAATTTAATCAATTTATATCAATCATGGCCGAATTGAATCGACTCAAAATTAAACGAATTTTTTTCAGATATTTTGGTAATAGTACAATTGCGGAGACCATTTCACTATTTAATTTGAAAATGAAAATAACAGAAAATCAAAGACAATGTGCAATTCGATAATTAAAAAGTGACAGCTTATAAACATAACCTAAAATGCATGAGAAAAAATTTGTCGATAAAATCAATATAGCCGAGCTTTTTAGAAGGTAGATGGCAGTTTTGCTTTTTATAAAAACGATTCGGGAAAAATTTAAAGAAAGAAAATAGGTAAGAAGAAAATTTTGTAATAAGTTTTCGAGTTGGCCTGCTGATCCTTTTGTTTATATAATTTGTTTTAAAAAAAAATTATAATTTTTTTTAGTTTTTTTTTTATTTTTCAAAATAAAATGTATTTTAATTTGCTTTTCTATTAGTTTACTATTAGATACTAGTCTCAAAAACACTTTTCATTTTGGAAAATAAAAAAAAAGAACGAAAAAAAAGTAAAAGTTTTTTTTAAACCAAATTATATAAACAAAAGGATCATCAGGCCCACTCTAAAACTTATTGCAAAATTTTCTTTTTATTTTCATGGGGGCGGTTCAAGTTCTACACATTTAGATTCTACACCGTATAAATTCTACACGTTAAATTCTACAATGTTGTATTCTACACAAGTTCAATTTTTCACAATTTAGTTGTTAAATTCTACACAGTTAAATTGCACACTGACAAACTCTACACAAATTCATATTTAAAAATAAAAATTAATTCGTTAAATTCTACACAGTTAAATTGTACACCTTTAAAGTCGACACACGTTTATATTTAAAAACAAAAATAATTTTGTTAAATTCTACACAGTTAAATTGAACACCGTTAAACTCTGCAGAAATTTGTTTAAAAAAATGATAATTATTACTATAAAATTCTACACAGTTAAATTCTACAAAATAAATTTCTTCGCAGTTTATTAGTTGTGTTAAATTCTACACACGTTTATATAATAAAAAATATTAATTTTGTTAAATTCTGCACAAATTTATTTTCAAAAATGAAAATTATTACTGTAAAATTCTACACAGTTAAATTCTACAAAATAAATTTATAAATTTTGTTAAATTCTACACAGTTAAATTGGACATCGTTAAATTCTACATTTTAATTAGTTGTTGGTTAATTAATTTTTTTTTTAAATTCTACACAATTAAATTGCACACCGTTAAACTCTACACACGTGTTTATTATTTAAATATAAAAATAATTTTAAAAAATTCCCATATACTTTGATATTAGTTATTTTTCTAAAAAAAATTTTTTTATTTTAAATTCAATATATTTTTATAAAATTTATTTAATTATTAATTAATTAATTAATTAATTATTAATTTATTTTCAGTATTTAAATCTGAAGAGTCCCAACATTGACGGGTGAATGCGAATGTTAATTTTAATGATTTTTTAAAAATAATATGTGGATTTATATAGAGAAACAAAATTAACATTCTATAAATACTACATTTACTTATAATCGATATATATTCTTTCGTATTATTTATAATAAATTTTAATTAACTTATTTATTTTTTATTTATTAATTTGATTCTCAAAAAAGATGAATTTTCTTTCTGAAAAAAGTGTGACAAAAAAAATATATAATAACTTTTGAAGCGTCTTTAAAGTAAATTTTTAACAATTTATTAATGCTTCAATTTCTATAAGCTTTCTTTTATTCTTTGACAAAAAGTATATCATAACATTAATATTTATGTCCGCGTGTGAAAAAAAAGTTGTTTACGACCAAATAAATTTATTTTCCCTTTTTTTTGGTGATTTTAATAGAAAAAATGAACAAGGGTGTCTAAAGGTAAGGAAAATAATGGAAAAGGCAAATTCAAATGGTAAGGAATTTTTTTAATTTTCTGGAATTTCTAGTCAATTAAATTAAATATAATTAAATGATTATGGTTATGATTTTTTTTAAGTATTAAAAAAAATTTTTTTTTAGAAATAAAGTACTTTTGAAACACGTTTTTCTTTATGTTATACTAACTGATAAAAAATAATGTATCAAATTTTTTCGATTTTTCTCATAAATTTTAAAAATTTAGTATAAAATAATGTAATTGCAACGAATGCATCTAAAAAATTGAAATTAATTGTGACTTTTCTCAAAATTGAAGTAAACAATTTTTGAAAAATATTTTTAATTTAGTCTTTGATAAACATATTAGGAAATTTTTTTCCCTTTCAGCGAAAGTAATGTTTTTTGTCGATTAAATAATATTTACAAGTTTTAAGCCAAAATTTAAGGTTTATAGTTTATATTATCAACTAGCAAAATTAAACGCGCCAAATTGAGTATTTCATTGTTTGTTAAAAAGAAATTAAAGATTAATATTATCAATAATAATTTAATTTATTAGAATATTATTACATATTAAATAATAATAATGAAAATTATACGTTTACAGGCCTCGGATTATACGACTTTTTCCGACTTTTTTCAAAAATACGACTTTTATCGACTTATTTTAATAAAATGCGACATTTTTTTTTTACATTTGAAAAAAAATTTAAATAAAATACATTTTTTTAGTATAAAATGTAGATCTTCTTCAGATCTTCTTCAATTCAATTATTTAACAAATTTTGAACTAAAATGATTCTTCACTAAATTAATTATTTTTAATAATTTTAATGAAATACATCACAAATTCAATTATATTAAAATTATTTTTCAATTAAAATTTTTATGAAATTTAACAATTGTTTATAATTTAAAAAAAAAATATCACAATAAAATTGAATTATTTTTTAAAAATTTCAATTCAAAATAAACTAAAATTCAATTATTACCCGAAATTTTAATTCAAAATCAATTAAAAATCCAATAATTATCGAAAATGTTCAATTTAAAATTTAATTATTTACCAAGTTTTCAATTTAAAATGAAATAAAATTCAATTATTTTCTAAAATTTCGATTCAAAATTAATTATCCAAATTTTCAATCAAAAATGAACTTAAATTAAATTATTATAAAAAATTTCAAGTAAAATTCAAGTATTTCCCAAAATTTTCAATTCAAAATGAACTGAAAAAATCTAAAATTTAATTATTTCTAAAATTTTCCATCGAAAATTTTTTTTTTTGAAATTCAATAATTTCAATTATAACTCTAAGGAAATTCAATTATTTTTAACTATTTTAATAATATTCTTTGAAAATTCAACTATCTGAAACCATTTTTCAATTAAAAATGATTTTCAAATTATTGTATTTTGTCCGCATTTTCCAATAAATTTTTAGTGAAATCATCTAAAATTTTAATTACAAAACACTTAAAGTTTCAATAAATTTCAAAAATCTCAATTTTAAATCTTTGAAAATTCAATTAAATTTAAAAAATGTTTTTCAAAAATTGTTTGATAAATTATTTTTAGTTCTGTAAAATTTAATAATTGTTTGAAAATTAACAAGAACTTTTGAAATTTAATTATTTCTAAAAATTTCAACTTTAACCCTTCGAAAAGGATTATTATTAAAAATAAAATTTTTTGTTTAAAAATCTGTAAAATATTTTTGTTAAAATAAAAAACAAATCCACTTTTTTTGGAATATAAATCGACTAAAACCAAGCATTTTATTATTATATAATTTTTGAAAATAAATAAAAAAAAATTCCTAATTTCACACAAATGTTGATGATAAACTTAAAATTCTCTAATTCAAACATTGAATTCGAATTTTATGAATGTTTCAAAATATTTACAAGAAACTTCTGTACATTTTTGATTTAGTGATTTGTTTTTATTTTTTTATACAGACACTATATAAAAGTGAAAAAATTGTATTTATTCGCAAAAAAAAAAAAAAAAAAGATTCACAGAGTTGATACAAAAGTAACAAATTTTTCTAAATTGTAATATCTCTAAAGTGAATTAAATAAATATAAACTATGAGAAAATTACAATATTTTTCCTATTTTACAAATATAGGAAATTAATAATTAAGTTTTTGTTGAATCTTAATTATTATTGTTATTAACAATAATTATAGAAAGAATTTTTTAAATTCAAATTTTCCTTTTGAAGTCAACAAATAACTTTTACATTAAATATATATGTGATAGAAAAATGTATAAAATAAATTATATATTTTTAAAAAAAAAATTCATCTATCACATTTAACAAATTTCAAAAAACATTTCCAAGAATCAATAAAATACATTATGACGTCATTTATCATTAAACTTTGATTTTTATTATGATTATTTTTGTTTGTTACGCGAATTTTTAATGACGTCATAATGATCCTTAAATAATTTTTTCTTTTTCTAGAAATTGAACCAAATAATTTTTATTTAAATTAAATAAACTGTATTTGAACCAAATATTTTTTTGTACTTAAAACATAAGAATGGACTCAAAAATTATTTAGTTCTAGTAAATATATTTATTTGATAATATAGTCATGACTATTACCGATTATTATTTGAATCAAATAAATTTTTTTCCAATGTATAGAAAAATTCTATTAAACGAAAATTCTGAATTTTTTTAGAAAAATAATATTGAATATCTCAAATATTTGGAAAAAATAGAAATTCGATAAAACAACAATAGATAAATAAAAATTCCCGAAAATTTTGTCTAGACATAAATTTTGTTAAATGGAAATTTTATTATTCGTTATATTAGAAAATCTTACTTCATGAACGTTTAGTTAGATAGAAAATTTTATTAAATCAGAATTTAATTTAATAGAAATTCTTCAGTATATAAAAAATTCAGCTGATAAAATCTACTTTATAAAATTGTGTTAAAAAAAAAAAAATTTTTTAATTTTTTAATTCGACACCAAAAAACTTGCCACAGATCTAATGTGGGAAATATATAAATAGACACTATAGATATTAAATTTGTTTTTGTGTGTGTGTTTGATTTTTGAACATATAAATTAACTAACCCTATGTAACTATAATATATCTAGAATGAAATTATCGTCTCTAAAATAGAAAAAAAAGTGGTTCAACAACGATTATTCTTTACTAGAATTTTAAAGCCATTTCGTAGAATGTCGTCGACAATGGAAAAAGCAAAGAATTCTCAATTCTACTTTGATTGTCGAAACGCTTTGTCTTTCATGTAACATTAACAAGTCTAGCTTTAATTTTTTTTCGTCATCTTTCTTTCTCTTGATGAAAAAAAGAAAGAAAGAAAGAAAAAAAAAAAAAAAAAGTGGAACACGAACGACAAGAAGTCGTTCATCCTTTGTCTAAAAAGGAGCTTTTGAGGTATATACGCGGAGCCACTCGACATTCAAAGGTCATTTTTCTTTTGTGCTTTTCCCGTTTCATCTCATCTTCGCATGTGATAATCGAAGAGACTGCAGTACAATAATTATACATGGAATGATTTATTTTTTTTTTTTGTATGATCGTTTGGAGAGTATTATCATTATATTTTTTCCCCTCTATCTTTCTGATTATCCTGCTGAATTTTTCTTTTTTTTTGGTGATAATAATTATAAAATAGCCTATACTGACTTTATGTTTTTTTGGTAAAAAACAAATCTCTTATCAACATTGAAGTGATTGATGGAACTTGTTTTTGATCGTGTCTTGTTGGATTTAAATTATCATAGGATGCATATTCCGTGGCCACTTTACGCGACGTCATTGTCAGCATTCTAACAAGGTCCGTCGTTTCAGCATGCTCATCGATTATTTCACATAAGCACTGAATGTACCATGTTCCTTCCGCGGGATTTCTCCAGGAGAAAAATCCTTAAATTATAAACACATATTTAAAAATAGAAATTTTTTTAATTTTGTGTTAATTTTACCATTAGAGAAAATAAATGCAATTTTTTTTTTCATATACATTAGAAGAATACAAAATTTTTTTTTGTACTTTTGCTGTTGTAAATCTTGGAAAAAAATTTGCAATTTTTGAAAAAGGTTTTTTTGAAAAAAAAAAAAAAAAATACCTTGGACTGTGCTGTGAGCAATAAGGAAATCTGCATGGGTTGGAATTTTATATGCAGCAGTTGCAGAATCTGTTTCTGTTCTGACAGCACTTCGCATTAATGAAATTCCCGAATCGAATTTATCACCTCGACAAGCCTGAAATAAAAATCATATTTATTTATTATTCGAATTTGAAACCCAAGTATTAATATAGTAGAACTAATTCAAAAGGATGCAAAAAAAAAAAAAAATTAGAATAGAAAATATGAAAATTTATAAGAGAAATTATTTTATGCTTAAAAGTTTTTTTTTATTTAATCATTATTCTGTGAATTGGTATTTTTTGTGAAAAAAATTATTTTGTGAGAATTTTTATTTAATGGAAGTTTATTAGATAGAATTTTCTTTTAGCCAAATTTTTATTCCTTCGAATTATTTTTTGATAGAATTTCCAATTTCCAACCGAAAATTCACTTCACGGAATTTCTATTTATTCGAATTTGCAATTAACATTATAGCCACATTTAGAAAAAATAATATTTAAAAATGTTTAATTTAAAAATATTATTTATTTAAATGAAAATTATAATATGTTTGATTTAAACTAAAAGGTTAAGGAGATTCAAACCATTAACATAACATCAAACTAAAAAGTAGTTTTTAATAGAACTAAAAATATACTTAAAATTGATTCCAGCAAAATTTGAAAGATCCAATTGTAAAATTTTCAAAAAAAATTATTTTCAGTTAAAATTTGTTACTAAATAATAATTAATAAACATTATTTTGTGTTTTTTTCGCAAAAGTTAGTGAACAATTTTATAATTTTCATTCAAATTTTTATAAAAAATGGCTCATTTTTCTCTTTGAAAGATTCTCTACAATTCTGAATTAAAAAATAAAAATTTTATTTGTTTATTAACTTTTGAACGAAATATTATGTTAATAAAATTCAACGAACAGATAATTGTAGAAAATCTTTCATAGAGAAGAATGAGATATTGTTTGTAAAAATTGGTTAAAATTTACAATTCGTTTTAAGAAAAGGCGTAAACATGGTGTAGTATAAGGTGACCGAACGACCATGTTAAATCTGCGTTAAAAGTGGACCAAATTTTGGTAACCGCTTATTGTCATTAAAATACGTAATGGAACACTAGCGCCACTGATTGTGTTAAACTCAGCTGGACAGTCAGCCATTGTAAAAGTTTTAAAAATAAAGAGCAATGTATTTTTGGGTTATGTTCAACGTATTTCTAATTTTTTCCACTGTTTACACTACTTCGTGGTTTACTCACTTCCCACAAGAGCGCTTGTGTTCCATTACGTATTTTCATGACAATAAGCGGTTACCAAAATTTGGTCCACTTTAAATGTATGTCGTTCGGTCTCCTTATACTACTCCATGGGCGTACACAAGATTTCTTACATTTTCATGTTTGTTTACGTTTCACATACTGGACTTACCCTTAAAACGAATATATTTATTTAATATTTAAACTGTCAATTATAAAAGAGTTACAGATTTCTAACAAAAAAAAAAACGCCTTTTTACCCCAGTGACCTATACTAGAATTTGTATAAGATTAATGTTACCTACAAGGAAAGAATTTTCTGCGCATTTTACAATAGTTTCGGTGCCATCTATATACGCAAGTTCTACAAAAAATTTGTTTTGGAAAAACAACAAAAATACATTTAAATTTGGTTAAAGTCAATTTGTCATTTTAGCAATTTATTTATTTATAACAACAAAAATCTTAAATTAAAAAAGTTGTAAAAATCACAGATTTAAAATTTTCAAAGTTAATTTTCTTTGTTATCTTCAGATACTTTTAATTAGCAGGGATGGATGTGGCCAGAATAGTTAGGTAAGACGTTTTCGAATATAGCGAGCAAACGTAAATTTGTATCTGCAAACAAGTAATATTTTTGGATATTTTATATAATTTATAACATTTCCTAAATATCAATTCTTTTCTACACTTTTACGTGTATTTTGTGCAAGAAATTGAAATTCAATCGTCAGCCTAAGAAAAAGGAAAATTTTTCGAATTTTTTTATGATATGGGTAGTCTTAAGGGTGGTAATATGTGTCTTCAATTTTTTTCTACACTTTTAGGAGTATTTTGTGCAAGAATTTGTATTAAAATCGTCTGCCTAAGAAAAATTGCATTTTTTTGGGAACTTTTTTATGAATTTGGATTTTTGGGTCAAATGACTTTTTGGTGGTAAGAAGTGTCTTCCTCTACTCATATATGGCTGTCCATTTTTGTCCACACATTTAAGAGTATTTTGTGCAAGAAATTGAAATAAAATAGTCTGCCTAAGAAAAATTGAATTTTTTTGGGAACTTTTTTCTGATTTTGGATTTTTGGGTCAAATGACTTTTTGGTGGTAATAGGTGCCTCCCTCTACTCGTTTTTGGCTGTCAATTTTTTTCTACACTTTTAGATGTATTTTGTGCAAGAAATTGCAATAAAATAGTCTGCCTAAGAAAAATTGAATTTTTTTGGGAACTTTTTTATGATTTTGGTTTTTTGGGTAAAATGACTTTTTGGTGGTAATAGGTGCCTCCCTCTACTCGTTTTTGGCTGTCAAGTTTTTTCTACACTGTTAGATGTATTTTGTGCAAGAAATTGAAATAAAATAGTCTGCCTAAGAAAAATTGAATTTTTTTGGGAACTTTTTTCTGATTTTGGATTTTTGGGTCAAATGACTTTTTGGTGGTAATAGGTGCCTCCCTCTACTCGTTTTTGGCTGTCAAGTTTTTTCTACACTGTTAGATGTATTTTGTGCAAGAAATTGCAATAAAATAGTCTGCCTAAGAAAAATTGAATTTTTTTGGGAACTTTTTTCTGATTTTGGATTTTTGGGTCGCATGGCTTTTTGGTGGTAATAGGTGCTTTCCTCTACTTGTATTTGGCCGTCAATTTTTTTCTACACTTTTAGATGTATTTGGTGAAAGAAATTGCAATAAAATAGTCTGCCTAAGAAAAATTGAATTTTTTTGGGAACTTTTTTCTGATTTTGGATTTTTGGGTCAAATGACTTTGTGGTGGTAATAGGTGCCTTCCTTTACTCGTTTTTGGCTGTCAATTTTTTTCTACACTGTTAGATGTATTTTGTGCAAGAAATTGCAATAAAATAGTCTGCCTAAGAAAAATTGAATTTTTTTGGGAACTTTTTTCTGATTTTGGATTTTTGGGTCAAATGACTTTTTGGTGGTAATAGGTGCCTCCCTCTACTCGTTTTTGGCTGTCAATTTTTTTCTACACTTTTAGATGTATTTTGTGCAAGAAATTGCAATAAAATAGTCTGCCTAAGAAAAATTGAATTTTTTTGGGAACTTTTTTATGATTTTGGTTTTTTGGGTAAAATGACTTTTTGGTGGTAATAGGTGTCTTCCTCTACTCGTTTTTGGCTGTCAATTTTTTTCTACACTTTTAGATGTATTTTGTGCAGGAAATTGCAATAAAATAGTCTGCCTAAGAAAAATTGAATTTTCTTGGGAACTTTTTTCTGATTTTGGATTTTTGGGTCAAATGACTTTGTGGTGGTAATAGGTGCCTTCCTCTACTCGTTTTTGGCTGTCAATTTTTTTCTACACTGTTAGATGTATTTTGTGCAAGAAATTGCAATAAAATAGTCTGCCTAAGAAAAATTGAATTTTTTTGGGAACTTTTTTCTGATTTTGGATTTTTGGGTCGCATGGCTTTTTGGTGGTAATAGGTGCTTTCCTCTACTTGTATTTGGCCGTCAATTTTTTTCTACACTTTTAGATGTATTTTGTGCAAGAAATTGCAATAAAATAGTCTGCCTAAGAAAAATTGAATTTTTTTGGGAACTTTTTTCTGATTTTGGATTTTTGGGTCGCATGGCTTTTTGGTGGTAATAGGTGCTTTCCTCTACTTGTATTTGGCCGTCAATTTTTTTCTACACTTTTAGATGTATTTTGTGCAAGAAATTGCAATAAAATAGTCTGCCTAAGAAAAATTGAATTTTTTTGGGAACTTTTTTCTGATTTTGGATTTTTGGGTCAAATGACTTTTTGGTGGTAATAGGTGCCTCCCTCTATTCTTTTTTGGCTGTCAATTTTTTTCAACACTTTTAGGAGTATTTTGTGAAAGAAATTGCAATAAAATAGTCTGCCTAAGAAAAATTGAATTTTTTTGGGAACTTTTTTCTGATTTTGGATTTTTGAGTCAAATGACTTTTTGGTGGTAATAGGTGCCTTCCTCTACTCGTATTTGGCCGTCAATTTTTTTCTACACTTTTAGATGTATTTTGTGCAAGAAATTGCAATAAAATAGTCTGCCTAAGAAAAATTGAATTTTTTTGGGAACTTTTTTCTGATTTTGGATTTTTGGGTCAAATGACTTTTTGGTGGTAATAGGTTCCTCCCTCTACTCGTTTTTGGCTGTCAATTTTTTTCAACACTTTTAGGAGTATTTTGTGAAAGAAATTGCAATAAAATAGTCAGCCTAAAAAAAATTGAATTTTTTTGGGAACTTTTTTCTGATTTTGGATTTTTGGGTCGCATGGCTTTTTGGTGGTAAAAGGTGCTTTCCTCTACTTGTATTTGGCCGTCAATTTTTTTCTACACTTTTAGATGTATTTTGTGCAAGAAATTGCAATAAAATAGTCTGCCTAAGAAAAATTGAATTTTTTTGGGAACTTTTTTCTGATTTTGGATTTTTGGGTCAAATGACTTTTTGGTGGTAATAGGTGCCTCCCTCTATTCTTTTTTGGCTGTCAATTTTTTTCAACACTTTTAGGAGTATTTTGTGAAAGAAATTGCAATAAAATAGTCTGCCTAAGAAAAATTGAATTTTTTTGGGAACTTTTTTCTGATTTTGGATTTTTGGGTCAAATGACTTTTTGGTGGTAATAGGTGCCTCCCTCTACTCGTTTTTGGCTGTCAATTTTTTTCTACACTGTTAGATGTATTTTGTGCAAGAAATTGCAATAAAATAGTCTGCCTAAGAAAAATTGAATTTTTTTGGGAACTTTTTTCTGATTTTGGATTTTTGGGTCAAATGACTTTTTGGTGGTAATAGGTTCCTCCCTCTACTCGTTTTTGGCTGTCAATTTTTTTCTACACTTTTAGATGTATTTTGTGCAAGAAATTGCAATAAAATAGTCTGCCTAAGAAAAATTGAATTTTTTTGGGAACTTTTTTCTGATTTTGGATTTTTGGGTCGGATGGCTTTTTGGTGGTAATAGGTGCCTTCCTCTACTCGTATTTTGCCGTCAATTTTTTTCTACACTTTTAGATGTATTTTGTGCAAGAAATTGCAATAAAATAGTCTGCCTAAGAAAAATTGAATTTTTTTGGGAACTTTTTTCTGATTTTGGATTTTTGGGTAAAATGACTTTTTGGTGGTAATAGGTGCCTCCCTCTATTCTTTTTTGGCTGTCAATTATTTTCTACACTTTTAGGAGTATTTTGTGCAAGAAACTGCAATAAAAGCGTCTGCCTAAGAAAAATTGAATTTTTTTGGGAACTTTTTTATGATTTTGGATTTTTTGGTCGGATGGCTTTTTGGTGGTAATAGGTGCCTTCCTCTACTCGTTTTTGGCTGTCAATTTTTTTCTACACTGTTAGATGTATTTTGTGCAAAAAATTGCAATAAAATAGTCTGCCTAAGAAAAATTGAATTTTTTTGGGAACTTTTTTCTGATTTTGGATTTTTGAGTCAAATGACTTTTTGGTGGTAATAGGTGCCTTCCTCTACTCGTATTTGGCCGTCAATTTTTTTCAACACTTTTAGGAGTATTTTGTGCAAGAAATTGCAATAAAATAGTCTGCCTAAGAAAAATTAAATTTTTTTGGGAACTTTTTTCTGATTTTGGATTTTTGAGTCAAATGAATTTTTGGTGGTAATAGGTGCCTTCCTCTACTCGTATTTAACCGTCAATTTTTTTCTACACTTTTAGATGTATTTTGTGCAAGAAATTGCAATAAAATAGTCTGTCTAAGAAAAATTGAATTTTTTTGGGAACTTTTTTCTGATTTTGGATTTTTGAGTCAAATGAATTTTTGGTGGTAATAGGTGCCTTCCTCTACTCGTATTTGGCTGTCAATTTTTTTCTACACTTTTAGGAGTATTTTGTGCAAGAAATTGCAATAAAATAGTCTGCCTAAGAAAAATTGAATTTTTTTGGGAACTTTTTTCTGATTTTGGATTTTTGGGTCAAATGACTTTTTGGTGGTAATAGGTGCCTCCCTCTATTCTTTTTTGGCTGTTTAATTTTTTTCAACACTTTTAGATGTATTTTGTGCAAGAAATTGCAATAAAATAGTCTGCCTAAGAAAAATTGAATTTTTTTGGGAACTTTTTTCTGATTTTGGATTTTTGGGTCAAATGACTTTTTGGTGGTAATAGGTGCCTCCCTCTATTCTTTTTTGGCTGTCAATTTTTTTCAACACTTTTAGGAGTATTTTGTGAAAGAAATTGCAATAAAATAGTCTGCCTAAGAAAAATTGAATTTTTTTGGGAACTTTTTTCTGATTTTGGATTTTTGGGTCGCATGGCTTTTTGGTGGTAATAGGTGCTTTCCTCTACTTGTATTTGGCCGTCAATTTTTTTCTACACTTTTAGATGTATTTTGTGCAAGAAATTGCAATAAAATAGTCTGCCTAAGAAAAATTAAATTTTTTTGGGAACTTTTTTCTGATTTTGGATTTTTGAGTCAAATGAATTTTTGGTGGTAATAGGTGCCTTCCTCTACTCGTATTTGGCTGTCAATTTTTTTCTACACTTTTAGGAGTATTTTGTGCAAGAAATTGCAATAAAATAGTCTGCCTAAGAAAAATTGAATTTTTTTGGGAACTTTTTTCTGATTTTGGATTTTTGGGTCAAATGACTTTTTGGTGGTAATAGGTGCCTCCCTCTATTCTTTTTTGGCTGTCAATTTTTTTCAACACTTTTAGAAGTATTTTGTGAAAGAAATTGCAATAAAATAGTCTGCCTAAGAAAAATTGAATTTTTTTGGGAACTTTTTTCTGATTTTGGATTTTTGGGTCGCATGGCTTTTTGGTGGTAATAGGTGCTTTCCTCTACTTGTATTTGGCCGTCAATTTTTTTCTACACTTTTAGATGTATTTTGTGCAAGAAATTGCAATAAAATAGTCTGCCTAAGAAAAATTGAATTTTTTTGGGAACTTTTTTATGATTTTGGATTTTTGGGTCAAATGACTTTTTGGTGGTAATAGGTGTCTTCCTCTACTCGTATTTGGCTGTCAATTTTTTTCTACACTTTTAGGAGTAAATTGTGCAAGAAATTGGAATAAAATAGTCTGCCTAAGAAATATTGAATTTTTTTGGGAACTTTTTTATGATTTTGGATTTTTGGGTCAAATGAATTTTGGTGGTAATAGGTGTCTTCCTCTACTCGTTTTTGGCTGTCAATTTTTTTCTACACTTTTAGGTGTATTTTGTGCAAGAAAATGCAATAAAATAGTCTGCCTAAGAAAAATTGAATTTTTTTGGGAACTTTTTTATGATTTTGGATTTTTGGGTCAAATGACTTTTTGGTGGTAATAGGTGTCTTCCTCTACTCGTATTTGGCTGTCAATTTTTTTCTACACTTTTAGGTGTATTTTGGGCAAGAAAATGCAATAAAATAGTCTGCCTAAGAAAAATTGAATTTTTTTGGGAACTTTTTTATGATTCGGATTTTTGGGTCAAATGAATTTTGGTGGTAATAGGTGTCTTCCTCTACACGTATTTGGCTGTCAATTTTTTTCTACACTTTTAGGTGTATTTTGTGCAAGAAAATGCAATAAAATAGTCTGCCTAAGAAAAATTGAATTTTTTTGGGAACTTTTTTATGATTTTGGATTTTTGGGTCAAATGACTTTTTGGTGGTAATAGGTGTCTTCCTCTACTCGTATTTGGCTGTCAATTTTTTTCTACACTTTTAGGTGTATTTTGTGCAAGAAAATGCAATAAAATAGTCTGCCTAAGAAAAATTGAATTTTTTTGGGAACTTTTTTATGAATTTGGATTTCTGGGTTGGATGACTTTTTGGTGGTAATAGGTGTCTTCCTCTACTCGTATTTGGCTGTCAATTTTTTTCTACACTTTTAGGTGTATTTTGTGCAAGAAAATGCAATAAAATAGTCTGCCTAAGAAAAATTGAATTTTTTTGGGAACTTTTTTATGAATTTGGATTTCTGGGTTGGATGACTTTTTGGTGGTAATAGGTGTCTTCCTCTACTCGTATTTGGCTGTCAATTTTTTTCTACACTTTTAGGTGTATTTTGTGCAAGAAAATGCAATAAAATAGTCTGCCTAAGAAAAATTGAATTTTTTTGGGAACTTTTTTATGAATTTGGATTTCTGGGTTGGATGACTTTTTGGTGGTAATAGGTGTCTTCCTCTACTCGTATTTGGCTGTCAATTTTTTTCTACACTTTTAGGTGTATTTTGTGCAAGAAAATGCAATAAAATAGTCTGCCTAAGAAAAATTGAATTTTTTTGGGAACTTTTTTATGAATTTGGATTTCTGGGTTGGATGACTTTTTGGTGGTAATAGGTGTCTTCCTCTACTCGTATTTGGCTGTCAATTTTTTTCTACACTTTTAGGTGTATTTTGTACAAGAAAATGCAATAAAATAGTCTGCCTAAGAAAAATTGAATTTTTTCGGGAACTTTTTTATGAATTTGGATTTCTGGGTTGGATGACTTTTTGGTGGTAATAGGTGTCTTCCTCTACTCGTATTTGGCTGTCAATTTTATTCTACACTTTTAAGTTTTTTTTTGTGCAAGAAAATGCAATAAAATAGTCTGCCTAAGAAAAATTGAATATTTTGGGAACTTTTTTATGATTTTGGATTTTTGGGTCAAATGACTTTTTGGTGGTAATAGGTGTCTTCCTCTACTCGTATTTGGCTGTCAATTTTTTTCTACACTTTTAGGAGTAAATTGTGCAAGAAATTGGAATAAAATAGTCTGCCTAAGAAATATTGAATTTTTTTGGGAACTTTTTTATGATTTTGGATTTTTGGGTCAAATGAATTTTGGTGGTAATAGGTGTCTTCCTCTACTCGTTTTTGGCTGTCAATTTTTTTCTACACTTTTAGGTGTATTTTGTGCAAGAAAATGCAATAAAATAGTCTGCCTAAGAAAAATTGAATTTTTTTGGGAACTTTTTTATGATTTTGGATTTTTGGGTCAAATGACTTTTTGGTGGTAATAGGTGTCTTCCTCTACTCGTATTTGGCTGTCAATTTTTTTCTACACTTTTAGGTGTATTTTGGGCAAGAAAATGCAATAAAATAGTCTGCCTAAGAAAAATTGAATTTTTTTGGGAACTTTTTTATGATTCGGATTTTTGGGTCAAATGAATTTTGGTGGTAATAGGTGTCTTCCTCTACACGTATTTGGCTGTCAATTTTTTTCTACACTTTTAGGTGTATTTTGTGCAAGAAAATGCAATAAAATAGTCTGCCTAAGAAAAATTGAATTTTTTTGGGAACTTTTTTATGATTTTGGATTTTTGGGTCAAATGACTTTTTGGTGGTAATAGGTGTCTTCCTCTACTCGTATTTGGCTGTCAATTTTTTTCTACACTTTTAGGTGTATTTTGTGCAAGAAAATGCAATAAAATAGTCTGCCTAAGAAAAATTGAATTTTTTTGGGAACTTTTTTATGAATTTGGATTTCTGGGTTGGATGACTTTTTGGTGGTAATAGGTGTCTTCCTCTACTCGTATTTGGCTGTCAATTTTTTTCTACACTTTTAGGTGTATTTTGTGCAAGAAAATGCAATAAAATAGTCTGCCTAAGAAAAATTGAATTTTTTTGGGAACTTTTTTATGATTTTGGATTTTTGGGTCAAATGACTTTTTGGTGGTAATAGGTGTCTTCCTCTACTCGTATTTGGCTGTCATTTTTTTCCACACTTTTAGGTGTATTTTGTGCAAGAAAATGCAATAAAATAGTCTGCCTAAGAAAAATTGAATTTTTTTGGGAACTTTTTTCTGATTTTGGATTTTTGGGTCAAATGACTTTTTGGTGGTAATAGGTGCCTCCCTCTATTCTTTTTTGGCTGTTTAATTTTTTTCAACACTTTTAGATGTATTTTGTGCAAGAAATTGCAATAAAATAGTCTGCCTAAGAAAAATTGAATTTTTTTGGGAACTTTTTTCTGATTTTGGATTTTTGGGTCAAATGACTTTTTGGTGGTAATAGGTGCCTCCCTCTATTCTTTTTTGGCTGTCAATTTTTTTCAACACTTTTAGGAGTATTTTGTGAAAGAAATTGCAATAAAATAGTCTGCCTAAGAAAAATTGAATTTTTTTGGGAACTTTTTTCTGATTTTGGATTTTTGGGTCGCATGGCTTTTTGGTGGTAATAGGTGCTTTCCTCTACTTGTATTTGGCCGTCAATTTTTTTCTACACTTTTAGATGTATTTTGTGCAAGAAATTGCAATAAAATAGTCTGCCTAAGAAAAATTAAATTTTTTTGGGAACTTTTTTCTGATTTTGGATTTTTGAGTCAAATGAATTTTTGGTGGTAATAGGTGCCTTCCTCTACTCGTATTTGGCTGTCAATTTTTTTCTACACTTTTAGGAGTATTTTGTGCAAGAAATTGCAATAAAATAGTCTGCCTAAGAAAAATTGAATTTTTTTGGGAACTTTTTTCTGATTTTGGATTTTTGGGTCAAATGACTTTTTGGTGGTAATAGGTGCCTCCCTCTATTCTTTTTTGGCTGTCAATTTTTTTCAACACTTTTAGGAGTATTTTGTGAAAGAAATTGCAATAAAATAGTCTGCCTAAGAAAAATTGAATTTTTTTGGGAACTTTTTTCTGATTTTGGATTTTTGGGTCGCATGGCTTTTTGGTGGTAATAGGTGCTTTCCTCTACTTGTATTTGGCCGTCAATTTTTTTCTACATTTTTAGATGTATTTTGTGCAAGAAATTGCAATAAAATAGTCTGCCTAAGAAAAATTGAATTTTTTTGGGAACTTTTTTATGATTTTGGATTTTTGGGTCAAATGACTTTTTGGTGGTAATAGGTGTCTTCCTCTACTCGTATTTGGCTGTCAATTTTTTTCTACACTTTTAGGAGTAAATTGTGCAAGAAATTGGAATAAAATAGTCTGCCTAAGAAATATTGAATTTTTTTGGGAACTTTTTTATGATTTTGGATTTTTGGGTCAAATGAATTTTGGTGGTAATAGGTGTCTTCCTCTACTCGTTTTTGGCTGTCAATTTTTTTCTACACTTTTAGGTGTATTTTGTGCAAGAAAATGCAATAAAATAGTCTGCCTAAGAAAAATTGAATTTTTTTGGGAACTTTTTTATGATTTTGGATTTTTGGGTCAAATGACTTTTTGGTGGTAATAGGTGTCTTCCTCTACTCGTTTTTGGCTGTCAATTTTTTTCTACACTTTTAGGTGTATTTTGGGCAAGAAAATGCAATAAAATAGTCTGCCTAAGAAAAATTGAATTTTTTTGGGAACTTTTTTATGATTCGGATTTTTGGGTCAAATGAATTTTGGTGGTAATAGGTGTCTTCCTCTACACGTATTTGGCTGTCAATTTTTTTCTACACTTTTAGGTGTATTTTGTGCAAGAAAATGCAATAAAATAGTCTGCCTAAGAAAAATTGAATTTTTTTGGGAACTTTTTTATGATTTTGGATTTTTGGGTCAAATGACTTTTTGGTGGTAATAGGTGTCTTCCTCTACTCGTATTTGGCTGTCAATTTTTTTCTACACTTTTAGGTGTATTTTGTGCAAGAAAATGCAATAAAATAGTCTGCCTAAGAAAAATTGAATTTTTTTGGGAACTTTTTTATGAATTTGGATTTCTGGGTTGGATGACTTTTTGGTGGTAATAGGTGTCTTCCTCTACTCGTATTTGGCTGTCAATTTTTTTCTACACTTTTAGGTGTATTTTGTGCAAGAAAATGCAATAAAATAGTCTGCCTAAGAAAAATTGAATTTTTTTGGGAACTTTTTTATGAATTTGGATTTCTGGGTTGGATGACTTTTTGGTGGTAATAGGTGTCTTCCTCTACTCGTATTTGGCTGTCAATTTTTTTCTACACTTTTAGGTGTATTTTGTGCAAGAAAATGCAATAAAATAGTCTGCCTAAGAAAAATTGAATTTTTTTGGGAACTTTTTTATGAATTTGGATTTCTGGGTTGGATGACTTTTTGGTGGTAATAGGTGTCTTCCTCTACTCGTATTTGGCTGTCAATTTTTTTCTACACTTTTAGGTGTATTTTGTGCAAGAAAATGCAATAAAATAGTCTGCCTAAGAAAAATTGAATTTTTTTGGGAACTTTTTTATGAATTTGGATTTCTGGGTTGGATGACTTTTTGGTGGTAATAGGTGTCTTCCTCTACTCGTATTTGGCTGTCAATTTTTTTCTACACTTTTAGGTGTATTTTGTACAAGAAAATGCAATAAAATAGTCTGCCTAAGAAAAATTGAATTTTTTCGGGAACTTTTTTATGAATTTGGATTTCTGGGTTGGATGACTTTTTGGTGGTAATAGGTGTCTTCCTCTACTCGTATTTGGCTGTCAATTTTTTTCTACACTTTTAGGTGTATTTTGTGCAAGAAAATGCAATAAAATAGTCTGCCTAAGAAAAATTGAATATTTTGGGAACTTTTTTATGATTTTGGATTTTTGGGTCAAATGACTTTTTGGTGGTAATAGGTGTCTTCCTCTACTCGTATTTGGCTGTCAATTTTTTTCTACACTTTTAGGAGTAATTTGTGCAAGAAATTGCAATAAAATAGTCTGCCTAAGAAATATTGAATTTTTTTGGGAACTTTTTTATGATTTTGGATTTTTGGGTCAAATGAATTTTGGTGGTAATAGGTGTCTTCCTCTACTCGTTTTTGGCTGTCAATTTTTTTCTACACTTTTAGGTGTATTTTGTGCAAGAAAATGCAATAAAATAGTCTGCCTAAGAAAAATTGAATTTTTTTGGGAACTTTTTTATGATTTTGGATTTTTGGGTCAAATGACTTTTTGGTGGTAATAGGTGTCTTCCTCTACTCGTATTTGGCTGTCAATTTTTTTCTACACTTTTAGGTGTATTTTGTGCAAGAAAATGCAATAAAATAGTCTGCCTAAGAAAAATTGAATTTTTTTGGGAACTTTTTTATGATTCGGATTTTTGGGTCAAATGAATTTTGGTGGTAATAGGTGTCTTCCTCTACACGTATTTGGCTGTCAATTTTTTTCTACACTTTTAGGTGTATTTTGTGCAAGAAAATGCAATAAAATAGTCTGCCTAAGAAAAATTGAATTTTTTTGGGAACTTTTTTATGATTTTGGATTTTTGGGTCAAATGACTTTTTGGTGGTAATAGGTGTCTTCCTCTACTCGTATTTGGCTGTCAATTTTTTTCTACACTTTTAGGTGTATTTTGTGCAAGAAAATGCAATAAAATAGTCTGCCTAAGAAAAATTGAATTTTTTTGGGAACTTTTTTATGAATTTGGATTTCTGGGTTGGATGACTTTTTGGTGGTAATAGGTGTCTTCCTCTACTCGTATTTGGCTGTCAATTTTTTTCTACACTTTTAGGTGTATTTTGTGCAAGAAAATGCAATAAAATAGTCTGCCTAAGAAAAATTGAATTTTTTTGGGAACTTTTTTATGATTTTGGATTTTTGGGTCAAATGACTTTTTGGTGGTAATAGGTGTCTTCCTCTACTCGTATTTGGCTGTCAATTTTTTTCCACACTTTTAGGTGTATTTTGTGCAAGAAAATGCAATAAAATAGTCTGCCTAAGAAAAATTGAATTTTTTTGGGAACTTTTTTATGATTTTGGATTTTTGGGTCAAATGACTTTTTGGTGGTAATAGGTGTCTTCCTCTACTCGTATTTGGCTGTCAATTTTTTTCTACACTTTTAGGTGTATTTTGTGCAAGAAAATGCAATAAAATAGTCTGCCTAAGAAAAATTGAATTTTTTTGGGAACTTTTTTATGAATTTGGATTTCTGGGTTGGATGACTTTTTGGTGGTAATAGGTGTCTTCCTCTACTCGTTTTTGGCTGTCAATTTTTTTCTACACTTTTAGGTGTATTTTGTGCAAGAAAATGCAATAAAATAGTCTGCCTAAGAAAAATTGAATTTTTTTGGGAACTTTTTTATGATTTTGGATTTTTGGGTCAAATGACTTTTTGGTGGTAATAGGTGTCTTCCTCTACTCGTATTTGGCTGTCAATTTTTTTCTACACTTTTAGGTGTATTTTGTGCAAGAAAATGCAATAAAATAGTCTGCCTAAGAAAAATTGAATTTTTTTGGGAACTTTTTTATGATTTTGGATTTTTGGGTCAAATGACTTTTTGGTGGTAATAGGTGTCTTCCTCTACTCGTATTTGGCTGTCAATTTTTTTCTACACTTTTAGGTGTATTTTGTGCAAGAAAATGCAATAAAATAGTCTGCCTAAGAAAAATTGAATTTTTTTGGGAACTTTTTTATGATTTTGGATTTTTGGGTCAAATGACTTTTTGGTGGTAATAGGTGTCTTCCTCTACTCGTATTTGGCTGTCAATTTTTTTCTACACTTTTAGGTGTATTTTGTGCAAGAAAATGCAATAAAATAGTCTGCCTAAGAAAAATTGAATTTTTTTGGGAACTTTTTTATGATTTTGGATTTTTGGGTCAAATGACTTTTTGGTGGTAATAGGTGTCTTCCTCTACTCGTATTTGGCTGTCAATTTTTTTCTACACTTTTAGGTGTATTTTGTGCAAGAAAATGCAATAAAATAGTCTGCCTAAGAAAAATTGAATTTTTTTGGGAACTTTTTTATGATTTTGGATTTTTGGGTCAAATGACTTTTTGGTGGTAATAGGTGTCTTCCTCTACTCGTATTTGGCTGTCAATTTTTTTCTACACTTTTAGGTGTATTTTGTGCAAGAAAATGCAATAAAATAGTCTGCCTAAGAAAAATTGAATTTTTTTGGGAACTTTTTTATGATTTTGGATTTTTGGGTCAAATGACTTTTTGGTGGTAATAGGTGTCTTCCTCTACTCGTATTTGGCTGTCAATTTTTTTCTACACTTTTAGGTGTATTTTGTGCAAGAAAATGCAATAAAATAGTCTGCCTAAGAAAAATTGAATTTTTTTGGGAACTTTTTTATGATTTTGGATTTTTGGGTCAAATGACTTTTTGGTGGTAATAGGTGTCTTCCTCTACTCGTATTTGGCTGTCAATTTTTTTCTACACTTTTAGGTGTATTTTGTGCAAGAAAATGCAATAAAATAGTCTGCCTAAGAAAAATTGAATTTTTTTGGGAACTTTTTTATGATTTTGGATTTTTGGGTCAAATGACTTTTTGGTGGTAATAGGTGTCTTCCTCTACTCGTATTTGGCTGTCAATTTTTTTCTACACTTTTAGGTGTATTTTGTGCAAGAAAATGCAATAAAATAGTCTGCCTAAGAAAAATTGAATTTTTTTGGGAACTTTTTTATGATTTTGGATTTTTGGGTCAAATGACTTTTTGGTGGTAATAGGTGTCTTCCTCTACTCGTATTTGGCTGTCAATTTTTTTCTACACTTTTAGGTGTATTTTGTGCAAGAAAATGCAATAAAATAGTCTGCCTAAGAAAAATTGAATTTTTTTGGGAACTTTTTTATGATTTTGGATTTTTGGGTCAAATGACTTTTTGGTGGTAATAGGTGTCTTCCTCTACTCGTATTTGGCTGTCAAT